GAGGTTGTCAGCTTCGCGCACCGGCGACCCTTTACCCCCAGGAAAATTCCTGGTACTCATTTCTGTTAGAGGCTGAATCGACCCCAGGACCATAGTGCGGCTGAAGGATTAGGTCAACTGAAAATCCAACGACCTCATCGGGGATCGAAACCGCGACCTTCCGGCTTGTAGCGCAGTGCCTCAACCAACTACGCTACCGCGTACTCCTTCGCGAGGTTGCAACTGTGCCTTGATAAGAGCAGTGGTACGTAATAGCTACTGCATAATTCCGACAAGTCTTCGCGGTAATTTCCAGTGAGACACGCCCCTCCTTCGTAGACCCAAGGCTGACAGTAAACAGAAGCACAGGTGCGTATCTGCGCACATCCACGGCTCATGTCTGGTGGAGGAGTTCCCAGCTCGAGCTGGCGCCAGAGCATTCACTTGTGTCGTATTCCTCTGCGTTTCCATCCATGTAAACAGATTTACGTTTAGTGCTCCAACTTCTCAGTTCTTGGTTCCTTTCTCCGAAGACGGCCCATGCTCTTAACTTTAACTTTCGGGGTCTATATGACGGCTGGAAATAAGACATTCCTCTGTGGGCCTTGCTTTCCGAGATCCTTGTTGCTTTTGTGGCTAATGTACTATTGACGCTATCAGTATCAGACTATAGTATATCGCCTTATCGTAGATCGAAAATTGTGTGATCTGGAACGAAACGGTCGTGGCCTAATCGAGGGCCTGAGGAAAACCACTACAAACCTCACGATAACCGGTGTCCCGGCCGATACTGGAACCGTCCATCTCTAAAATACAACCTACAGCGTTACCTCTAGCTCAGCATGTTCGGTGACAAAATTGCTAATTACATGTTAAGTAACAGCGCGTAAAATAATATTTACGATTTTTTTATTACCGTATTTATGCATGTATAGGCCGCGTGCGTGTATAGGCCGCAACACAATTTTCAGATAGAAATTATAGAAAAAATAATTTTCTTGGAATATTATTTCAGGAGTAGAAATTATTCCGAAATGAATATGATTGAATGAAGTGTGATTTCGAATATTTCGAATATAAGCCGCACCCCAGTTTTCCTCTTGAATTTTTGGCAAAAATGTGCGGCCTATACATGCGTAAATACGGTATTTAAGTGCGAAATTGTCTTATATCGTAATCGGTATTTTCGGGATACACAAAAAAAAAATCCTTACTTACATTTTGTAAATTCTTGTAACAAATGAAGGAAAAGCGAAAGAAGCTACTTCCCGGCGAATGCGCAGGCGTCAATATGAAGTAACCAGAACTGGTGACAGTGGCGCGATATTAGTTAGCTAAAATGAACAACTAACTACCAAAATACGCAGTGGGAAATTTCACTGTTTGGCTTATTATCCGCAGGTATTTTTCGAGTAGCTGTAATAATCAGAGATTTGCTTTCTCAAAGTTTTTACATTGATGACCACATAACTCACATAAGATATTTGTTGATTTTTATGCTAATAAAAGACTACAGACAGATGCCACTTTACACGAATTATGAAAGCAAGTTCAAACCAATTATGCAGGACTATCTTAAAGTTTGTACGACTTTAAACAAATCTGAACACGTACTTTATATTTACATAAAATTCCAATCGAGACCAACGAGCTCACGAGCCATATTCCCATCACCACAAGCAATAAAGGAGGATTTATAACGGAAGCCGTCTGGCTTCTGTTTCCTTACATTCTTCCGTTCACTGTGGCTTCACATTCGGTGCGGCCTGCATTTCTCGTAGGCACAAAACATTACAAGACGAAAGTATATCACATAGGTCCACAATTACTTTCTATAAACTTAAAATGAATGCCACTGGAAAGAGAACAACAGTATACTCCGTGAGCGCAACATAGGAATGAGTCAGTTTCCTAAGAATTTCCTATAAATTTGAAGACATTTCCCCATGAACTGCAAGAGCACATTTCTAATGAACAAGAAATTTTAGTTTCTTACTAATCCGTGGAATATGTTGCCTGTCGTGGTAGTGTTGTTGGTTGAGGCACTATGCTACAAACCGGAAAGTGGCGGGTTCAATTCTCGATGACGTCGTTGGACTTTTCAATTGACCTAATCATTCCAGCCGCATTATGGCCACTGAGTCGACTCAGCTTCTCACAGAAATGGGTACCAGGAATATTCCTGGAGATAAATGGCGGTCGACGCATAAGGCTTGAGAATTTCACTGCCATCTGCGAGCCGATTTTCTAGAAAATGTGGGAACGGCGACTTTTCACAAACCTATGGGCCTCCACGGCCTGTATAGGGATACTTTCCTGCGTGTTGCCTGTGAACCCACAGCCAGCTTCTTATAAACTCGTAAAGTTAGAATTTTACGAGCTCGTACATATTCGTATCAGAATCAAACCCTCTTGGCGTGTATCTCACAACTGGTAGACAACATTTCTAGGTCATAATGTGGGATATACCTACGCTCAGCACCAGATACCACCTCCTCTTTGTTCTCCCTCCCCCGAGACAAACACTCCACGACGAAGTGCCTTTGAGAACTTAAGGTAAAGATGAAATAAGGCCTTTCAGAAGATTGTAATGCAAAATTGTATCAATGAATTCGATGACGCAAATAATTTGAAGTTTATAACTTGTTCGACAGTTTTGTATGGGTAAATATGAAAGAAAGGCATAGCAAGTGAACACAATCATTCTTTAGAAGTTAATTTCCGAACATTTATGGCACTATAAGGTTCATTACAACATTCAAAACAGCCAGTCACTGGTCTCTATCCAGAGCCAGATGATTAAAGTCTACATGGTCACACCCTATTTATTTAATAACAAATTTAATATTATACTCCCACCTACATAAATATCCCTTCATTTTTCCCGATCAAACATTTGTATTCATTTATAATGTCTCGCCATGCGTGCTACATTCTCCGCTAACCTCGTCAAGGGAAGCGGATTAACATATTTTCACCACAGCACTCTATTTCGTTAAACTCTGGGCGTCGATTTTGCAGCATCGGCATTCTTAAACCTCCCTCGATTCACAGAAACGCGTATAACAGCGGTGGGATGTACGTACTTGGGTCTGCGTGCCCCATTCTACAGCTTACATTGCCATCGCTATCGGTGTTCATTTGTTTCTCTTACAAATCCTTTCGCCGTGGTTGTTTTACCACTCTGTTAGTGTCTTCTGTCTATATCCTCGAATGCTAGGATAGTTTTTAATGATTAACTGTAAAGAATTTGGAAGGAAGCGATCGTAGCCTACCTCGGAATTTGTCTGGAAGGACTGAGGAAAACAGCGAAAACCCCTCAGTGAGAATATCCGTTATCCTGACCGAGATTCGAACCGAACATGCCCCGAGCGTCACATTATGCCAACCCTTTTGGTAAATCTGTCACTGACAGGGCAAATCAACAATAGAATTCTAGCAGTGAATTCTGTACAAGTAGTTTCAGATACTGAGAGTGTCGTTAAATAAAGCATAAATAAATAACGAACAGTTCTATTTTTGGATAAGTTACGTGTATCCAATAGTGTGTGCGTGTTGGTTCCTAGCACTATACAGGCATGAATGAAATCACTGTAATTCGTAAAATATCTTATCGAAAAATGTTTCCCGTATTGTTGAGGTGGGTGCGCCTAGAGGCGCAACAGTGCCTCTTGTTATTTGTGTCTATGTGAAAACTAAGGCATTATTTGTTGAATGTTTAACAGTCTATGGAGGGAACTTTCTTCTGACAAGAGTTATAAATCGTAATAAAGAATGGAAATTGCGTTTTAGAACTAGGCAAAAGTTCCAGATCAGAACAAAAGCAAGAAGGAATTACCATAACATATTAAAAAGAAATTATTTCAATGTAGGTTCGAGAATTTGTTTTTACGTGTACAGTTGTTGACAAGTATAGTCATAACGTCTTTATTCATAGGAAATAGCTCCCTCAAAATGAACCCTTATGCAATTAAGCAGATGGCGTGTATCCACGTCTACCCCAATTTCCAGCCCTGTGTTTAATGAAATATGATGTTGTGCCATGTGTCACATTTTGCACGGAAAGTCACTCTTGAGAAATTGAATTAAGTTCATATAAAATAGGTATTTCAATGTATCAATGGAGACTGAAATGAAATTCAACAATTTTAGTGTAAAACACGAACATCCGGTAGATGAAACTTGAAAACAGACATACGGATATGAACTCCCATTATGCGTCAGTTTTATTCAGAGGTTATAAAATACACAGAAATGACGAACCAACAATTCGATGCGAACCTCACACTACATGGCCTCTTAAAGACTATGACGTCACAGCTGTATTTCAGAGCCCCAGAACTCAGTGACAGAGCGATTGAGCGTCAAGAGGACCGCAGGGAAATATTCTGACTTCTTCCTCACGGCCAATTCAACTGTTGCATAATCTCGCTGGAAGGAGCCACGAATGCGAAACAGCCGGTCGGGGGAGGGGGGTGGGGTGTCTAAATCGTTATTTTGCTGACTGCAAGCAACATCGCAATCCAGATAAAAAGACTAAATATTGTATCATGTTACTTAAATGGATAAATTGCATCACAAGTTCGCTATATACTACCGTAACTAGGGGAGCATGTTACATATAAGCCTTTCACATTTTAACTTAAATTTTAATCGTTCTGTAACTATGTTCACTGGAAATTTGTTCGAACAAATATATTGTCAAATATACGATAACTTATGACCATACCATATTTTTCATGTATTGTTTCGAGAGCAATTAAAATATCAATTAATTATTAGCCGATCCCGTTAGCCGTGATCTGCACAAACGGCGTTGCACCTCTAGAACTTTGCTGCAGCTGGCTGGAATGCTATTCAGAACTTCTATCCACGTCTTTCCGTGTAGGAAGGTGACTTGTGTTAGGCCGATTCGCCATTTAAGGAGCCCTATTCATAGCCTAACAGCTTCACTGAACAGAAATCCTGGATCCTGTTCCTTTTTATAAGATACGAAAGGATGCATAAAGAATTATTATTACCTGTAGTTCAAGAAAATCTTGTGGTCGCTGCGTCTGCTGTCATGGCCTAGAGAGATGACAGTCCTTCACATGTTGGCACGCACACAGAAACACTGTGGAGTGTCCCGGACAAACAGCTCACACGCCCGACGAGGGAGGTAGGTAGCGGGCGGGCGGGCGTCGCTCGAGCTTCTGGCGTCCCCGCGCGAGGAGGCAGCGTCGCGACCGACACCCACCGACGGCAAACGAGCTTCGACCTGGCTGGTAACCATAGCAACCAGGAGCTCCGTCACAAACAGCCAGCTAAAGAAAGAAAGGAAAAAAAACAATGGCTCAGAAGAAAAATTACACGGAGGAACAAGTGTTTCACACCGCTGTTATTCGGAAAATAAACGCAATAAATTCTGAATTCACCACGACGCCGGATCACAAATAACGACTGAATAAAGAGATTCAGATCCTGCTCTACTCTGCACTGTGCTCAGTTCTGCTGTGGCGCGTTATTCAGGCGTCACACACATCATACTTACCCCTTACGATGGAGGCGCCATAGCTCAAGCGGTTAGTCGCTGGCTTCCCACCGCGGCGGCCCGGATTCGATCCTGGGTCTGGTCAAGTGGGATTTGTGGTGGACAAAGTGGCACTGGGGCAGGTTTTCTCCGAGTACTTCGGTTTCCCCTGCCAATCTTCAGTCCACCAAGTGCTCCACAATCAACCTCACCTATCATCTGGGGCTGGTACAATAGGCCAGAAGTGGTCGCAGTACAAGGGCCTTAGTCCCACCCCACTAGCAATAAGAAATACCCCTTACGATACTAGTATCCATAGAAAGAACAGTAGAAGTAAAGGCGTTAGTCGGTCACTTTATCGGCCGGTCGGTCTTCCAGTCAGTCAGGTGTCACGTCAATGCTTTGCAGTTTAATACATAGTAAGAAGGTAAGGGTAAAAGGTAAATCTGCACCTGTAACAGGCCGTCAAGGCCCATAGGGGTGTGGAAGGTCGAGGCTCCCACATTTTCTAGACAGTCAGCTCATAGATGACAGTAAATTTGTCAGACTTACGGGCCGGCCACCCTTTACCCCCCAGGAAGATTCCTGGTACTCATTTCTGTTAAGGCGCGTCCACATTACTCGTACTCGTTCTCGTGCTCTCATGACTCGCTATGCTCGCGAGTAATGTGGACGATATGACAAGTCACGAGACAAGGAAATTTTTAATTTTTTATTTAAAAACTGTAGCCAATAAATTAAAATACAACTACAGACTATACACACTACGAGTACATATACGGATCTTCACGCGCCGAGGCCTGGACGAAGACTTACGAGCACAAGTAAAAGCCAGACGAGTCTCCCGACGAACACAAGCCTGGCGCGCACGAGCACGAGTAATGTGGACGCGTCTTTAGAGGCTGAGTCAACTCCAGGGTCATAGGGCGGCGGGAAGGATTAGGTCAATTGAAAAATCTAATGACCTCATTGAGAATCGAACTCGCAACCTTCCGGCTTGTATCATACTGCCTCAACCAACTGCGGTATGTTGGCCGTGGTGAACAGTAGTGGGCCCCCTCCTCTCGCCACAGAGGAGACCCCATTTCGAAACACAGTAAGTGGCCTTGGAATGAACAAAATTATGGACGTGGGTCCCGGCGGGGCCCGAAACCAAGAATGACTGTACTGGCGAAAAGGGGCGGCAATCTTTAAGTGTTGCATCCTGTTGCGTCGTGTATATAAAAATATTTATTTCATATTTCCGTCAACACAGCAATTTATAAAATGTATACAGATGGCGTATTTACATGAAGGTTGTATATCTGAGGCACAATATGTTTCGACCCCTAATGGGTCACCATCAGGTGCTAATTCATCCTAAGTTCTGAACACATACCTAATATGGATCTATCTCGTAGAGTTGTTCTTTGTTTCCACATAAAACCTGTTACAGAATCTTCAAAATTAAGTTAAAATTAATTTATTAAAATTGTAATTTATATAAATAAAATTTAAGATGAGGATACACATAAGTACACTGATCGTTTATTCCGGTTTCTTAGGGAATATGAATTCTTGAGTGGAGTAGTCACTCTTTGGTTGTTGTTCTGACGTTGTTCTCTCTATATATGAAATGGTCCGGCTGGCTTCTGGTTGACTGCAAATTACTGATCTAGTCTCTCTGAATATACACTGACAGTTTACAATAACAAGGGCCATTCATCCTATAGACACTACGCGTAAGTGGCATACGAAAGTCGAATTAATAAAGTTCGCATCATATAAGATACAGAAACGACAGCAAGAAAAAAAAACGTTAACTGTAAAACAGGCAGCACAAATGAAATAAGTAACAGCTCTGGAGGCAAAAGTCACAGCTGCACACATCCTGAAGATGTTTCGAACAGGCTGAAATATCTGAAGGAATGAGTTCGGTTATAACTCGAGGTTCGACAGTCCTGGGATCAGCGAGGAGACTAATGCAGGTGTCGGGGAAAAAGATCTTAAATGGGTTTCTGAAAAGTGAATCTGCTTGAAATAAACGTACCTCAATCAACATTACGTAATATTTTTCCCCCGCATAAAACTGCATGAACATTCTTTAAGTTAGTTACGCCCAAATGACAAGGAAAGCTACTGAAATAAGAATCTGAAATTACACAATATTTATTTTTTTTTTCCGAATGTCTCGCCTTCTCGTAAAGCAGCTTCCAGCAGACTTTTCTTTCTGTCGTTAACATTTCTAATCAGCTACGGAATTTGAAGCAAGGAAAATGAAAACGTACTGACTTTTCTTTAACGCGCCATTAACACCACGTTTCTGTCGTTTTTACTTCCAAAGATATTCGGGACTTAAAGAGCAGTTGATGATTGTAAAGAAAATGTTTATCAAGACAGACATAAGCTTAATTTGAACTGTAACGAAATTTAATTGCAAAATGCTACTGCCTGTCTGCTCGTGTATAAAGTGAACCCTTCATGAAGCCCTTAACCATGAGATCTGAGGTCCTCATGGCGGCGACTATAAAGATTACGGTCTTCTGTGATGTGACTCCGTGCAGTCGGGTTACCAACGTTTCAGAAAAAAAAACCCTGCTTCCACCTACTCTGAAGATGGAGAAAGCAAGTTTGCCCTGAACGTAGGTAAACATCTACCAGACTGCATGATGTCACATTCCTCTCCTTGAACATGGTTGAACATTTCGAGTCAATCCGCTCTGAAGGTGTTGAAACTTGAAGTAATTTCTGTATGCTTCTGCAGTGCGCTGGAACTCGCATCCAGATGTCTTCGGTCTGTATGAAATGACCTGCTTCTTGGTTCCCTGGTTTTGCATGTGAAGCTGATTGTTTTCATAGTATTTTTTTTTATTTATTTTAGATTTTAGCAATCAGAATATTACACAATTCTATAAGCTAAAGTGCTGATTACTCATTAGATATACTAATGACTAGTGGCATGAACAGGTTGATATCCAGCGAAATCACCTGTATAATCTATAATTAGTATCTATACATTAACTTAAGGGTAGTTCACTTGGCCACAGTTTTTTTAGCCTTTTGTTGCTTACTGGTTCCAGGAGTTGCTCCATGAGCTGATTGGGGTGGTCATAGTATGTAAGATCAATAGCTGTACGTTAACTTTTCCAATTCCAAGGTCACTCTATCGATATTTTCATGCGCAGGGGGTGGTGCATAACTTACAGATGGGTTTTGGACTGGATGATTGAATTTACTGACACCTTACACAAACAACTCGGAAATACAGTTCACTGTTGCAAGCACACTAAGTTTCTCAGCCTTCACTAGTCGTATCCTGGTAACAGATTTATAACAGTCTGTCACTTCAAATCACACATAAAATCTTCTTTTTACAGCCTAATTCCCTTCTTGCCATTTCTTGTCAATAGCCTTCAGCTGCCGACTCACAATTCCATCTCCAGCAGCTCCTAAGCCCATATCCCAGGCCGCGCCATAGCTCAAGCGGTTAGTCGCTGGCTTCCCACGGCGGCAGCCCGGGTTCGATCCCGGGTCTGGTCAAGTGGGATTTGTGGTGGACAAAGTGGTGCTGGGGCAGGTTTCCTCCGAGTCCTTCGGTTTCCCCTGTCAATCTTCATTCCACCAATTGCTCCACAATCACCCTCACCCATCATCTGAGGCTGGTACAATAGGCCAGAAGTGGCCGCAGTAGAAGGGTCTTAGTCCCAACCTACTAGCAATAAAAAAGCCCATAACCTGGCAGGCTGATCTTCTCAATGAACTGTTTTTTATAACCACGCATAAAACACAGCCGGTCTATTCTCTGGACTGCGTGTTTATACCGCCGTTGCATAGCAACGGATATTATTCGATTGTTGCTTGAGTATTCGCTGCCGCATGAATGTGTTTACCGAGTCGTTGCCTAACAATGCATGTCTATTCTGAGTTCACTATTTCGGCTTTCGGGCGTCATGTCACAATATAAACTGAAGGATCTAGTGTAAATTCAAGAATACGAAAACAGTTCTTCTGTTTCCATCCGATTAACAGGGCGTGCCAGGTACATGGAGACGTGCAATACAATTTTTGAGGTTACTCTTTGCTCGGAAGTAAACACGTAAAGAGGAATATCAAACTGGCGGCAGTCGTCTCTAGTCAGCAGATACTGAAAGAAATCTCCGCCTAACAACCTCTATATAACGGGCTGTCACAGTGAACAGATCCTGACCTTTCAGGGGCGGAAAACTGCAAAGAACTCGACAGTAAAGTCTGTGAGAGGAAACGGCTTGTTGACTTATTATAATACATAGAAATATATTGAAGACTGAGTAGCGAGAGAACCTCTTCAGCTTATGGGAGTTGAGCGTATGGTAAATCAGTCTACATAAAATCATATGTGCAAGAATGAATCACCTGAATTCGTCGGAATTATTGGCAAGATAGAGACACAACAGCATGTAGGGATGAAAACGATTTGTGTTCTACTGAGGTTTCCTTTCAGGCGTATGAAAACTGAAACAGGCTGTATATAAATAAAATCAAGAATTGGATCTAGAGAGACACAGTTCGTTTCAGGCATACACACTCTCTCAACATATATTTCTTTGTCAATAATCAATAAAGATTTGAATCATGAATTGCATAATATACATATACAAATTTGGGAGAACTTCCCCGACCGACATCTGGGGTTCATTTTACGGTGGTTTTAGTGCCCAGTCTATACAGTTTCCCAGGAGAAAAGTTCAGTATTCTGGGAGGTCACAGTATCGGTCATTCGAAGCAAAACAGTGTTTCCGGGACAGGCTATTTCACTGCACAGTTTCAAAGCTGCCG